TTGGATTTTACTTCGTCTGAGTTTACTTCACGCTTTAAAACCAAAGAAATCATTTTATATAGTCAGAAATTAAATAGACTAAACATCTCCGACCCTTACCGTGCCCCTGGGATACTTTTTAAAAACGCCAGAAGCTGTCGAAGCGGACTTCTTACCCGACCTGGCCAGGGAACGCCTTGGGATTCCCCCGGAGGAGCTGGCCCCAGTGGCTGGGGAGAGGGAAGTCTGGGCCTCTCGACGCTACTGCCCCCGCAACCCGACTCCGGATGAGCAGATGAAAATGGATGGATGGATGGATGGACAAATAACAGATTTACACGTAAGTAGTTTAAATAGAGTGCTGTGCTGTTTGAATGTATAAGCTGAACGCCAAGAGAAATCATTAGTCTGATTTATTTTTCCGTGAATAAAATAAATATATCAGGCAGGAGCGTCTCAGGATCTGTCTGAGATCAGTCTCGGTGAGACAGATAATAGCAATCCAAAGTGCTTTTTATGTGTGATCTGACAATTGATCAACCATTGATTAAAATGAAATACAGCTTAGCCGGTTAATTGCTGTGATCATAAAACACGTAAACGGCAGCACGCAGAAATCACGAGGCAACGTTTTACGTGATGTTTACTTGTTGCTGTGAGTAATAAGACAGAAAAAGCCACGCCAAAATAAGTTTAGGAAGCCCACTAAGAATCGTAATAAAGCATTTAAAATAAATACCATACACAGTTGAGGAAAAGTTGGTTTAAGTACCTGATATGAAGCAGTCGCTGCATAAGTGAAATCCTTTACTCTCGGGATCCCACAGCTTCATTTCAGCCCGGTCACTAGCGCGTTTTATTACAATGATCCGACGTTTGCGGCGTTCCGGATCTTGGGGAATCCTGTAGATGGCTCATTCCTTATGTCGTCCGCGTCTGTTCTGCATTCTGGGGCACAACAGGAATCTACCATATTTCCCGTTTGATTGAGTTTTCTGACAATAACAAATAGTCCAGCTGCGGGCTTCTGTCTGCCAATATGGCGCAGTTTCGATTTGAACTGTTGCATGCCGGGAGAAGTGACGTCAACTCCTGGAGCTCTATAGAACCAGTTTGCCTTCAGTGATTTTGCCACCAGTTCTCATTTACTATATTGGACTTTTCCTTCATGTCCCACAACACTTTGGTTGCAATATTGTTCATAAAACAGTTAACAATGCATCGGTTTCCCACCAGGTTAACTAATCTTGACTTATGTTGGGGGGTGGGTAGGTATGATGTCAGCGCCTTGGGCTTCCTGACAGGGTTGCGGAAGGCGCTTTATAAATAAAGCTTTGATGGATTGATTGATTGATTGATTGATTGATTGATTGATTGATGTTCAGTAATGGTAGAGGCTGTTTCATTAGTGGCTGATGGCAGGCTTGACTGCTCATTGCGGGACACTTGACTCTGGACTGCTGCTGGTCCCATCTCAGTAGTCCCTCCCCATTTCCCACAGAGTCTTTGCACTTAGCATCTATGAAAGTAGTGGCGCTTTCACCCACATTTGAAGCAGTGCATACATATATGTTCTCCTTTGCTACATCCTTTTTGTCATGGTTTTGGTGCCCTGGTGTGGGGACTGGTTTCCATAGCAGCCATAAACATTTGCTTCATTTCTTTGCATAGTTCTTCTATAATCTGCTGTGCATCTCAATTAGTCTCAACTGCTTTCACAGCCACTGCAGCTGGGGGTTCTCTGGACTTGAAGCAGCTCTGAACAGGTGTGTGAGCTGTCTGGCATTACGTTTCAAGCTGCTGTGGACCTTTTCAGATTTTAGCCATAGGCCCTATCAAATAAAAATGTTTTACGCCTAGTCTTAAAAGTAGACAAGGTGTCTGCCTCACGGACTAAAGCTGGGAGCTGGTTCCACAGGAGAAGAGCCTGATAACTAAAAGATCTGCCTCCCATCCTAATTTTAGATATTCTGGGAACCACCAGTAAACCTGCAGTCTGAGAGCGAAGTGCTCGGTTAGGAACATATGGAACAATCAGATCACTGATGTATGATGGAGCTTGATTATTAAGAGCTTTATATGTGAGAAGAAGGATCTTAAAATCTACTCTGAATTTAACAGGTAGCCAATGTAGGGAAGCTAAGACAGGAGAGATATGATCTCTCCTTTTAATTCTCATCAGAACTCTAGCTGCAGCATTTTGGACAAGCTGAAGACTTTTAACTACATTCTGTGGACTTCCTGAGAGTAATGAATTACAGTAATCCAGTCTTGATGTAATAAATGCATGAACTAGTTTTTCAGCATCTCCTGGAAAGGATGCTTCTAATCTTAGCAATATTCCGAAGGTGGAAAAAGGAAATCCTACAAACCTGTTCAACCTGGGATTTGAATGACATGTCCTGGTCAAAGATAACAACAAGGTTCCATACTTTGTTCTCGGAGACTAATTTAATGCCATTCAGGTCAGGTGATTGACTAAGCAATTTCCTTTTCTGAATTTCTGGTCCAAAGATGATAACTTCAGTCTTGTCTTGATTTAAAAGCAAAAAGTTTTGAGTCATCCAATTGTTTATGTCTTCAAGACAAGCCTGTAATCTACCTAACCGATTAGGTTCATCAGGGTTAATGGAAGATATAACTGAGTATCGTCAGCATAACAGTGGAAGTTTATCCCATGATGTCTAATGATATTACCAATTGGGAGCACATATATAGTAAACAGAATTGGTCCAAGCACTGAACCCTGTGGTACTCCACAAGTAACCCTGGAGTATGACGAAGATTTGGACACGTAGTGCAACACTGAAAACAGGAAACGCCTTACCGCCAGGTGCAGCCAATCAGCATATCAATCCTGATTAATAAAACAGTTCCAACGCCATTTTAAGTTCAGTGTTCAACAAGATCTCTCAAGATCCCTTGAAGTTCACCGCATGTTAAGTGAAGTATGGACAGGCCATCTATACTTTTCTTTTTAAGCTGAGAACTATCAAGCTGGGAAAAATCTGTCGTTATCAACCAACAACGGTTCCTTCAAAATAAAAGCTGAACTCGTTGACCCAAGGAGGGTCCTCTTTTTGACGCTGTGATCCATCTGTCGCTTTTTACCTGGAGACAATCCAAGGACTAGTCTGTCGTGCTGTGACGCTGTACCATTGGCTCCAGTACCGGAAGGAAGGTCCGAGGACCTGGCATTCTGGATCCATCATGGAGGTCTCACTGAGGGTATGTGGATGCGACAAAACTGGCGTCTCATGTGTTTATGACCACGAGTCTCAAACTTTGATCAGTTAGGAGCAAAACATCATCTCCCACTCAAACTTTGCTTCTCCAGATGCAAATGTTCTGAATTTGACATCATTCACACACACCAACCACCTCACTTCATTCCAACAGAACATCCATCATTGGAGTTAGTCTTTTTATACGTTTCCTCATTAGCTGCTTTCCATAACAGTTTTTCTTTGAGTTCAATGGCACAAAATTCAAAGTTTAGGGCAATTTCTTTGGGTTCTTGGTATATATTGAAAATCTGATGGTAAAGCTCAGTGGGGCTGTCTTCTCTGTAGCGTCATTTACAGATGGTGAGCAGTTTGCTAAGTGTCAGCCCCCATTTTATCTCCAGCATGTCTCTGAGGGGCAGTCCAGTGCTAATAGCCCTATTTACTGCCTTGACAATTTTAGTCTCAGTGTCTTTTTTCACTCCCATTCTCTATCTTGCGGACTAGATTGAGGTAAAACAGCTCATCCTTCTGCCCAGATTCTCCATTTTGCCCACTGATTTTAAACTCCCTCCTTACTGATTCCTTCTGCAGAGTTCGTGTTGGCTCTGGTCGAGTTATGGGTGGAAAAACTGATGTGTGTACTGGGGAGGCAAGTGGAAAGATGTCTTCCGAGTATCTCTTTTGAGCAGACTCTGGATTGGGGCTCTTTTCCTGATTGACTTTCTCCTTTGCTCACTCTCTGAATATACTGCTGGTGGCCATGTCTTTGTAAAATGTTTCCACTTGATCCTCTTCCTCACTCTTCTCTATTGCATCAAACACGCTCTCTGCCAACATGATTAGTGTCCTCTAAAAAGGTAGCAGAAGGTGAACTACACGTCACACAAAAACACAAAACAGTACAACAATGGCAGTCATTTTGGATCTGAACATGGAAATTTCTGGAGGCAGCAGGTGTAAACTCTGGATAAAATTGTAACTCCACCCCCAGTCATTATGTGACCACCAGTCACTGACCTCACGTGTAGAAACCACATCGAAGATGATACTGGAAAGTTAGTGGAAAATACTTACCTATGCTGTTGAAAAAGTCCAACTGGACACAAAGTCGTACTGTTGGAAAAGGGGGATTAGGGTCCTATATTCTGTGATAAACAGCTTCATCAGCATCTTCAACCAGTCCCTAACAAAAGCTGAAGCCCCATGCACATTCAAAGCATCCATCATCAGCACAGTCCGAAATAAACCAGACTCAATACTTTTTGCTCCGACTCACACTGGTGACAATGAAGCGCTTTGAAAAACTGGTTCTGGCCCACATCAACACCAAGGTCCTAATACCACTGACCGATACCGCCACAACATATCAGATGATGGCTGGAAGGTCCAGATGCAAATGACGCAGTGGCCTTGGAGCTGCTCAACACACTCCAATAGGAACAGGACCTACGCCAGGATACTTTTATTGGGATTGCAGCTGTGCTTTAATATTTTAGTTCAACATAAATCTAATGTTTATCCACAGCAGTTGCATAATCAAATGAAATAAATACTTCTGCAATCTTAAAATCGAACTTTAAAGTACCAGGGAACATTCACAAAATAATAGTTTATTACATATTGTGATATTGATTACTTTGAAGATTTTTTTAAGGCTGCAGTTTGAATATTTTAGTATTCGAATATTCAATCAAATCCACTGTCGATAAAATGTAATATTCTATTTGACGACCCGTCAAGTAAAGGAAAAATATTCTGTTTAGTTTGTGTTTATAAACTCCAACACTCAAATGATTCCATAGAAATGCCACCTTTTAATGAAATACAAAAAATTGTGTTACACTAATTGGTTTCTGCAATGTTTCTAGCATGCAAACTGTTTTGCATATTAAAATATTGATGTTTTCAATAAATAAAAAGAATCAAAAAACAATTCATAATGCCTTTGTGGCCCTTTAAGAACAAGTTAAAGCTTCATGAAAAATTGCATTATGAAATATCAATCCTACTCGTTAGCATTAGCCCACCTGGTGTAGTTTTTGTCATTGTCATTTTCTCCAAATTCCTCCATGGTGCCGTGACCACCAAGTTGTGCATCAGTAAAATGTGTCAGTGTAAGAGTCCGGCTGTGGTGTGCATATTTAACGAATCAGTAACAAATCAGTAAAAAGAAACTTGAGAAATGTATTGAATCAAAGCATTCGATCATTCGTTTCAGCCCTAGATTTTTTCCATATCGTCCCAGCCCTACTTGGGACATGTCTTGTGAACTGGTAAACTTTCATCCTTCTAGGATGTATTTGCATGTGTGCTTTGTGTGCGAGTTCTAAATAGATTTGTGGATATATTTTTAAAGGTCACATTCAACAGGTTTCTGTTCTATATGGATACTCATGTGGCTGTTTAAGTTTGTCTTACGACTAAATCGTTGTACACAAAGAACACACTGAAATGGTTTCTCCCCCGTATGGCTTAACAAGTGAGAGTTTAAACTTGTTTTGTGACGAAATGTTAGTCCACAAACATCACATTCAAATGGTTTCTGGCCTGTATGAATCCTCATATGTCTATTTAGATGCGTTTTCCTACTAAATCTTTGTCCACAGACATCACATTTAAATGATTTCTGTCCTGTGTGGATCATCAAATGGGAATTTAACGTTGCCCTCCGACTAAACTTTTGTCTACAAACATCACATTCAAATGGTTTCTCTCCAGTGTGAATTCTCTTGTGTGCATTCAAAGTCGTTTTATGGCTAAATCTTTGTCCACAAACATCACATTCAAATGGTTTCTGGCCTGTATGAATCCTCATATGTCCCTTTAGATGTGTTTTCCTACTAAATCTTTGTCCACAGACATCACATTTAAATGGTTTCTGTCCTGTGTGGATCATCAAATGGGAATTTAACGTTGCCCTCCGACTAAACTTTTGTCCACAAAGATCACATTCAAATGGTTTCTCTCCAGTATGAATTCTCTTGTGTGCACTCAGAGTCGTTTTATGGCTAAATCTTTGTCCACAAACAACACATTGAAATGGTTTCTGTCCTGTGTGGATATTCCTGTGTGAGGATAAAATTGCTTTACGACTAAATTTTTGTCCGCAAAAATCACATTCAAATGGTCTCTCCCCAGTGTGGATTCTTAGGTGTGCATTTAAAGTTGTGTTACATCTAAATCTTTGTCCACAAACATTACATTTGAATGGTTTTTGCCCAGTGTGGATTCTCATGTGTCTTGTTATGGTTGTCTTATGTCTGAACTTTTTTTGACAAACATCACATTTAAATGGCTTCTGTCCTGAGTGGATTTTCACGTGTGACTTTAAAGTTGAATTACATCTAAATCTTTGTCCACATACATCACATTCAAACGGTTTATTTCCAGTGTGAATTCTCACGTGTCTGTCTAAATGTGACTTCTGTCTGAATCTTTGTCCACAAACGTCACAATCAAATGCCTTCTCTTCAGAGTGGATTCCTATTTGTAGGTTCAGATTACTTTTTGGGTAAACTATTTGACCACACTCACAACTAAAGTCTGTCTTATTAACCAAACAGTTTGAAGACCTAATTTCTTCATGGTCTGCAATAAAGTGATATTGTTTCCCACACTCAGAGCAGCTAAATGATGTGTTGACAGTGTTTTCTCCTGACACTGAAGTCTTGCTCTCCTTCCAGTCATTGTCTCCATCTTCAGTTTCAGGACCAGAGTCAAGATTCAGATCATCATCTTGTTCATCACTTCTACTGACTTCAGTCTCTGAAGAAATAGAATTCTCTTCATTGTTCAGATCTGGGTTCTTGCTAGTTTCTGCTCCTCTGACAGTTCCTGCAGTCATCTGGTCAACTAAGCTGTTGGTTGGAACATCTCTGTCTTCCATTTGCTGATGATGAAGCAGTGAAAACAGAGGCTTCTCTTCATTATCCTCACTCTTTATAGGAACTACTGTGAATGTAAACCTGGTGACGTCAGTCTCCTCTTTCACATGGAGATGCTCTTCCTCCACACTGGTCCAGCTCCCCTCCTGTTCCTCCTTTATGTGGAGGGGTTCTGGGTCCTGTAGATCCACATCAGCACTCAGTTCTTTGGTTGCTTCTTCTTTAACCGACACCATCTGTTGAACATCTGCAGGAAACACTGAAACACATGATAGGAATTATAGACTGCTGTAACTGTCAGATTCTGAAAAACTTGTAAATACTTAAAATTCACAAGCGTTATGATCAACTGGCACTGTTGTCTTCCATGTTTCAACAATGCATTTTTGTACCTTCTATTAGAAGAAGACATGATGTCTCAGTCTCTGTTTTGTTAATGGCTATGCCCTTGCTGTGGAAAAAAGTAGTAACCTGAAATAGTAAATAAAATGTGCCAATGGTTGAAATGAAAGCTGGTGTGTGGCATTTTCTGTATGTGATCCTTGAAGTAGCTGTCAGCTGTCTCCCTCACCCCTGCAGCTATGTGTGCACCATGGCATGCACCACAACAATGACATGTTGCCTTTTTGATGAGTGTGGGCTTCTGTAGATACCTACTCTGAACTATGTGGTGCTAAGGAGTCAAATGATTTTACACATTGTGCCTTGAATCAAACATAATAGACAAAAGCAATAGTTAATGTGATTTAATGGAATTACAGTAACCATTGTTAGACAACGCCAGGAAGCCAACAAGTATGGCAGTGGACCAACATGAGTGGGAGAGGTGGGGATGATTTTTGTTAAGCAGATAAGGTTCGCGGCCGAATGTGAAGCGGCTGGGATGAGGATCAGCACCTCCAAATCTGAGACCATGGTTCTCGACCGGAAAAGGGTGGCTTGCCACCTCCGGGTCGGGGGAGAGGTCCTACCTCAAGTGGAGGAGTTTAAGTATCTCGGGGTCTTGTTCACGAGTGAGGGTAGGAGGGATCGGGAGATCGACAGGCGGATTGGTTCGGCGTCTGCAGTGATGCGGACGCTGAGCCGATCTGTCGTGGGGAAGAGGGAGCTGAGCCAGAAAGCCAGGCTCTCGATTTACCGGTCGATCTACGTCCCAATCCTCACCTATGGTCATGAGCTTTGGGTAATGACCGAAAGAACGAGATCGCGGATACAAGCGGCCGAAATGAGTTTCCTCCGTAGGGTGGCCGGGCTCAGCCTTAGAGATAGGGTGAGGAGCTCGGACATTCGGGAGGGACTCGGAGTAGAACCGCTGCTCCTCCGGATCGAAAGGAGCCAGTTGAGGTGGTTTGGGCATCTGGTCAGGATGCCTCCTGGACGCCTCCCCGGGGAGGTGTTTCGGGCATGTCCTGCCGGCAGAAGGCCCCCGGGTCGACCCAGGACACGTTGGAGAAGTTACATCTCCAATCTGGTCCGGGAACGCCTTGGGGTCCTGCCGGAGGAGCTGGTGGACAAGGCCGGGGAGAGGACGGCCTGGAGCTCCCTAGTTGGGATGCTGCCCCCGCGACCCGGACCCGGATAAGCGGAGGAAGACGACGACGACGACGACGACGAGACGACGAGATAAGACAAAACATATGACAGAGTATTGTGGGGAAGGAAGGATGGAGCACTATCAAGGATGATTCCCAACCTTTTGAACTGATGGAACTAGGGCTGCTCAATTAATCGAATTTTAATCACGATTACGATCCGAGTTTTGAACGATTATAAAAAACAAAACAAGCCGATTATTTGCTCCTCCCACTTGCGCTGCCCTGAGTTGCAAATGAAGCGCTCCTCCACAGTGTTGCCAACTTAGCGACTTTGACGCTATTTCTAGCAGCTTTTCAGACCCCCTTCTTGGCTTTTTAATCCTAAAAGTACCTAGCGAACATCTCAGAAACATCTCTGGTAACCCTTAGCTACTTTCTGGATAAATGTCGTCGACATTTCCTGCAGGTTAGCTAAACACTCCGCCTGAGCTCCGGACCGTTCTTCACAACATTAGGAAAGGGAATGATGCAGTCAGTGATGTGTCGGTCGCTACAGACAGCTCTCGGAGCTGGCTCGTTGTTGGAGTAACCAGAGTGAGTGACACACACACCGCACCTGCGGACTCCTGAGCAGCTAAAAACAGCTAAATGTGCACGTGCAGCGTGCTAAACACACGTGCAGCTTGCCCGATTGCTGTGAGACCGGGGTGGGGGTGCAGCTGTGGTTGGGACAGTTATTACATTAACTGATGGGCCTGTAAAAAAATAGTATATAAATAAGGTAGAAATAAGTTCCTCACGCTGATAAATAACTAATCTCTCTGAGGACACGGTGCTAGTGCACGCTCCTACAGCACCTTGACACGCCTAAATAAATGTTATGCAACATTTTGTGAACATCAATTTATTTGCATGTATTTGTTATAAATGCCACTGTATAATTCTTGCTGTCAGTATTTGCAAGATATTGGTATTTGGGTCTGTACTGGTTAGACTTAAATGAGTTAAACCAAACCCTTGGGTCATAAACTATGAGCTATAAGTATATAGGTCTTTTTATACTGGGAATCAGGAGTTATTTTAGTGATCATCTTGTTTCTTATTTTTGTCCTAATTGTGCCCGGAGCAATTTTATGACTGAATAAAAACAAATAAAATCATCATAAATTGAAAAATCTTCCTAAATAATCGTGATCTCAATTTGAGTCACCATAATCGTGAATATTATTGTTGCCATAATCGAGCAGCCCTAGATGGAAGTAGTCGATTTTGAAGCAGCTTTTGAAAATGTTGATTTTGTGCTAATGAGAAAAAAAACTCTCTTTTGACACGTTTAATATGAAGTTTTCCCCTTATCGCCTGAATTTATTTCCAATTATGGAAAAAAATTAACTTGTGATTTTGCTTTCAAGTAGATGCTAAATTAAGTTGAGAAAGTTAATTTCACCGTAACACATAAAATAGATATAATTTTAGGTATGATGCAAATTAGCGACAAGCCAGTGGCACAGAGCCAGCCACCCCTGCCAAATCTGCCCCAGTCAGCAGCCATCTTCTAATGTGTACAGTATAGAGTTTAGTGCACAATTTGTAATGCTGACAAGAACACTAAGTACTTAAGACCGCACACGAGGCACCAGCATCCCATTGTTAAGGAGGACATCCGAGTAGATCGACACCTACCGTGCAAATGTTTGAACATTAGCTTGGGCATATATGCAGTTGCAAAACCATTCAGCAGCAATAGAATAGTGCACCAATTCCCTTTAAAAAAACAAACCTCAGGCACAAACCACCAAATTAGCTGTCCTTTAGATGCCTGCCACGCAACACTGAAGTAGTGCTAAGTAACGGGTTTACTTCTTATGAGTGTGCTCATATACAATCTTTGAGGTATTGTCCACCACTCCTCCCTTCAAATGTCCAGCTCGAGGAGGATGTCCTTAAAGAGCAAGTCACCCCCAAATAAACTTTTTTTTGCTGATAAACTAAATAAACGAGTGTCTAATCGTGCTGCAGACACGTGTCGTCAATAATTTGGCACTTCAGTGCGTCTTAGTTAAAATTTAAATATTCTGCCTAAAATTGGCAGTGTTGTGCCGTTGTCAGGTAATAAACTCTGCACTGTATTCTAATTTAAATCTGCCACCGCTATTGGCTAAGAGGTATGCTATGATGTAAACTGGTACATTATGATGTCACAATGCTGTGGTGAGCCTGTGTGTGTGTGTTTGTTAGCAGCTCCGCCCTCTCGGTCTGACAGGCAACAGCATTTATTGCATTTTTCAAACATGAAGTGGGAGTGGAGTTAGACTCTGGTAGGGGTTGACTTGCTCTTTAAAGAAATAGTAGGCAGCAAATGGTTTGGTGAGGACAAAATAAGTGCATGTTTGCAGAAACAGCAAGCAGCAACAGAAAAATGTATTCCTCTCAGGTTAAAGTTCGAAGTTCAGGAAGGAGGAAATTAGTTTCAGTCTATGAGCCACACCTGTCATACAGTATTCACTTTGGCAGAATTGTGTTTTTTTTTCTCTCTACCTCAAAAACTGCCTTTAGGTAAAAATGTTACATTTAATGAACAATTTTAATATTTTGGGCACCTAAAATTTCAGACACATACAGCTTTAGGCCGAGCGATCGAGACGTGGGAGCTGCCCTCAGGATAAAAAAAGTCCAAATAAGAATACTGACTCATGCATACCTTCACTTTGAAGCACTGTCAGACCATAATTATGATTTTTACTGTGCACGCTGTAGTCACTATCCACTATTATTAGGATTTTACCCATGCCAGTTTGACTCTATGTCATTGCTGTAATTTGTGAAAACAACACTAAACATGAGTTATTTTCCAAAAAAATAAACAATTTTCTGAACAGGGTATTTAATACAAATCAATATTTTCTATGTTATGAAATATCTAAAATATAACATTTTTGCATCAATAGGATTTTATGTAGCAACAGATTAAAAAGTTACCATCCTCTTATGACTATTGAGGACAAAAACGTTCCATTGACTTCCATTCAAACCACAGCTTTTGATCCTGTTGCATCTGCAAAACGTAACCATGCGTTCTGTGATATTGGGGTTTCACTTTGGAGGAAAGCAGTCGAATTTGTCATTTTGACTGTTCACCAAAATCAGTGATTTCTCCATTGGTAGCCCAGGAGAGAAACTGTACACATTTCTTTAGATCTTCTGTGTATTGAAGTCAGAAGGTCAACGTGAACTCTGATAAGTGAATAAAACACAGTTTCACTCTCTTACTGGACTTCAACGTGTAGAAAACAAAAGCAAAAACAATTAGTATGTTTATGCACCTGGCTAGAACACAGGCAAAATCGTTTGAATGGAAGTCAATGAGACGTTTTTGTCCTGAAATGTAAGTCTGTTGCTAAGAAAAATCAATAAATGCAAAAAAACAATTATATTTTATATATTTTATTACATAACCAAGACTGATTTGCAATAAATCCCCCAGGCACAAAAATGTTTACATATATTTATTTTTTACAAAATAACTATTTTTGTGTGTTTATTTTTATTTTACTTTTCATAAATTACAGCAATGACTTATAGTGATAAAACTGACAATTCAAGGGTTAAACTCCTCAAAATTATTGAAATACTTTGAAGTTTGAGCAGGGCTGAAGTTGTTTAAGAGATCTGTGAAAAGCAGCAAAATAAATATTAAAGCATACGTGTTTGTCCTCTAAATAATCAAGTGTATAGTAAATTAAAGTGAAGCCTGAGGGTTAAGATATGACATTTCAGTCGAACCAACGGTAATAATATATTTCTCTAGAAAAGTTTAAAATAGTTTGCTAAGTCCTTTAAAGATTGCTTTGCTTTGTGTTCTTTAATAAAAAAGGAAAATTAAGAACTTTTTCTCTCTTAAAGTTAGACTGAAAAGGTACAGAAAAGTTTTATTCAGGTACCAGCACCGAAAGCCACTTAATACCAAAAATAAAAATGTATTTTTTGACAGACTTCATCAAGTTGACGTTTTGCGACATAAATGATTTAAAAACAATCTTTAGTTTTAATTACTTATGAAAATCAGCCACTTCAGAGGTTAATAATACACCAAACAGGATGACGTAGCTGACTTTCACTGGTATTCAGTGACACTAGACACTAGATACGTGACACTTGTCTAGCAAGCTCAAATAACTGAATGTAAACAGCACAGCTGAAGAAGATAACACAGGCTTGTAGCAGTTACCTGCCGTGTAGCCACAATAACGCTACTCAAGCAATACTGCCTATTTAACAACACATGTTGGTGCAAAGTAAACAGCTCACGTTACAACAACTTACTTGTGATTGACGAACAAACTGGAGATTAAAAAGAAATTAAAAAACAGCAACACTCTCGACAGCACGGATATCGGTCAGCTAATAAACGGAATGAGGAAAAACTTCCGGGTACTAGGCGCATGCGTAATGCAACACAAAGCGAGGCGCGTGGACGCCAGCGTCGCCGCCATGTTGGATGGGTCCCCTCTAACGCAGAGTGAGCAATTAAGCCCGTTTTGGTGCCGCCTACGGTAACAACAACCGGCGTACTATTGACAACAGATCACGTAGGATCACTAGTGACTTTTCTAGCCTACCTGAAGCAAAAATTATTTTTCTGGTTTGGGTTCCTTTCACTCTAATAATCCTCTTGTTAAGTTTAAGGTCATTAACGCTGCTATATATCCCCAGCAGGGCCGAATTGTCATGCAGGGGCCCCTGGGCACAATGTGCTTAGGAATAACAGGATAGCAAACTTTTCATTAATGTTCCTGCATTCGTTCTGTGCTCCAAACAGTTTACTAGGCTGTCAGTAATGACACTGAATGTTTCCACTCGAAATCTCTCTTGACCTTTTAGAGTTATTTCATGTTCTGTGGATTCAGCTGAAAAGATTTTTCGTTTTTTGGTCCGCTGAGGTTCATCTTTATATGACTGGCAAACTCCAGGAACATTCTTTGCAGCCATTTCAAAATGATCAAATTGGTCACGAATTGATAATAGAAATAATTTCAAAGACTCAAATAGACAAATGGCAGTTCTGAGATCAATGTCTTTCTTTTGTAATATTCACTGGTTGCTTTGAATCTGCCTAAAACACAGTGCCAAAACTGTGCCATAATTGACATTTATTGTTTTTTCCAACTTCAGCTTTTGTCCAAGGTCAAACCTTTTTTATCGCGGAGGGATCTTGAAATAGCGACTCCAGCTTTTATTTTCTCACTTCTTGATTTTTGTAATTTTCTATATTTTGGTATCAACAAATATTTAATAAGGAGGTTGCAGTTGGTCCAGAATGCCGCAGCTAGATTCTTAGGCCGTGCAAGGAAATGTGACTCAGTGTCACCGATTTTAGCTTCTTTGCACTGGCTGCCAGTCAACTTTGGAATTGATTTTAAAATGTACTTGTTGGTTTTTAACCCTTTGCAAGGGAAGGCACCTACCTACTTATCTGACCTGTGTGTTCCCTATTGATTGCCCTTCAAGAGTGCTAAAGACCTCTGGTCAATCGACCTTATTCATTCCCAGCACCAGATGTAAAACTAGAGACAGGGCATTTGCGGTTGCAGCAACTCATCTGTGGAACTCTTTACCACAACGTAATGAGGAGTCTCCATCAACTACTGACCTGTTTAAGTCTAGGCTTAATGCATATTTGTATTACCTTGCTTTTAGTGATAGTTAATTTAGGATTGTAATTATTATGTTTGTTTGTTTTTCATCATGGGTTAGGGTTAGGGTTAGTAATGACCCCAGGGCAATGAAATATACATTTTTCTGTGCATCCCCTGTAATACTCTCACGGACCACTATGGGTTACCCAGCCCCCACAACCTGCCACAACCTACCCTGTCTCCCCACTCTGTCCAGTCCTGTGTCTTCCCTAATTTCTCCCACCTTACTCTCGTCTCCCAAACACTTTAGATCCCAGGTCCTCTTAACCAAACTAGTTAACTCTATGAAGACCTCTGCATGCCCCCTCGACATCTTACCCTCATCTTTGTTTAAAAATGCTTTTCAGTCCATCGGTCCCAGCGTGCTCTCTATAATTAATGCTGCTCTGTTCAGATCCCTGCTTACTTTAAGAACGCTGTAATCCACCCGTGTCTTAAAAAACGAGTCTTGATACCTCTCAGCTCAGCCACTTCCGGTCGGTAACAAGATGGCGCCTGTGCTTGGCTTAGCCGCAGTCACCGGCCACTTTTTCAAACTTTTCTCCACTAACCTCCTCTTTTCTACCTTGCTCCTGTCTGCGATCCTCTTCAGTAGTGTCCCTGCTACCATCTCCTATGATCGCCAGACTCTTTTGTCCTTCTGTTCGTTTGCGACCGCCTAAGATGCACCGAGGACGTACCTCCCTCTTTGTTTACCTGAGTGGCTCACTGGCCTGGAGCCAAACAACGGTCTCAACCTGCACGCCTCCAGCTATGTTTGTCCGGTCCCAGGGAAATGTCGGAGGAAAAGAGGTAAACGAGCAGCAATCCAGGTGAGAATAAGACTTCTGTTAAAGCGTGGTTTATCTAGTAAACATCGGCGTGATCTTCTAGCTTCTTTTCCTTTGTTTGGTGACCTGAGCGCCACTTCCGCATTCCCGCCAGGCTGCGTTGGGACGCGGTTTCTCCGTCCAATTTTTTCAAGGTCGGTTTATCGTCATTCTTCAGTGGTTTCTCCTCCTGTTCCCTCCATAAGTGGTTTTTATAAACACCGTGGATCTAACCCTGCTAATTTACGTCCACTAACTCCAGCTGTTTCTGTAGTTTCTGATTCCTCCACCTCACTCAGCATGGCTCTATTAAACACCCGCTCTGTTAACAATAATTCCTTCCTGCTCAATGATTTAATTCTCTCTAAAAACCTGGATTTTCTGTTTCTGACTGAAGTTTGGGAGCAACCATCTGATTATTCTGGTCTGATTGAACTCTGCCCGAGTAGTTTTTCTTTTCTTAGGCAGCCCCGGGGTTCTGGTCGTGGTGGAGGCCTAGCTGTTGTTTTCAGAGACCATCTTCTATGTAGCTCTACATCCTCTGGTCACTTTGCTTCCTTTGAACTGCAGCTGATTAAAGTCGGGCGTAAGAACCCGTTCTACTGTGCTGTGGTCTATCGTCCACCTGGTCCAAACAGTTCTTTCCTTCAGGAGTTTAGTGGCTTTCTATCCTCCACTGTGAAGCTGTCCAGACTGGTGATTGTTGGTGACTTTAACATCCACGTTGATGATCCCTCTGATCACTTTGCCATGAATTTCTCCAGCCTTATGGACTCCTTCAGCTTTACCCAGCATGTTTCTGGCCCCACACACCAGGGGGCACACTCTAGACCTTGTTTTTACCCTGAGTCTAAATGCTGCCAGTGTTTGTCCTGAGGACGTTTATATTTCAGATCACCATTGCATTTTCTTTAACTTGTTAGTTTCTGCGTCCCCACCTCCTGCTCGCCGTATGGTTAGTCCTCGTTTTCTTAATGAGAGCACAGCTAGCAATTTTTCCGCTGCTTTTGATCTACCCTGTTCTTCTGAGAACGACCCAGATTCCTTAACTTCTCAGTTTAACGAGCACTGCCTCTCCATTCTGGACAACATCTGTCCTGTCAGATCAGTTCCTGCAGTGAACCCTACTCCCTGGTTTAATGAAAGCCTTCGCAGCCTGAAGCGCCAATGCAGAAAAATTGAGCATTTGTGGAAGAAAACCCATCTCCACGTCCATCTGCTGCACCTAAAGGATCTTCTGACATCCTTTAACTCTGCAGTCAGAGACGCGAGGGTTTCCTATTTCTCCAACCTGGTGTCCCAGAGCAAAGGGAACCCCAAGGTAGAGCCATGCACTGGAGCCCTAGGCCCGGGGGTCAGCCCGGCCGGATGGCCCGAGGGCCGGGCTTCGGGCCGACCACTGTGTAATGACCTCGGACATGGGCCGGGCGCCTTCATTTTTAATCGAAAAAAAACTGAAACACTTGAACGCAGCAGCACCTGCCTGCTTCTCACGCACCATTAGCTCAGTTAAAGTCTGTGTAGTTTATAAATGCGCCTATATAAACGAATTCTCAAACTGCTGATTGAAACATGTGCCCCTATTCTAATACGCCATTTTATGTCCACTTTGATGTCAGAAACCATTCGTTTATTCTCATGAAAACGGCAGCATTCTGTTTTTCTGTGAATAAATTCACTCTGCAGTTAGAAAAAAACAGCAATGAATGCTGTATTTTTTTAACTGCAGAGAGCATTTTCAGAGCGGCAGATTAAGTTTACAAACGCTTTATTAACTGGGGGCGTTTATTTAATCTGCCGCTCTGAAAATGCGCTCTGCAGTTAGAAAATTAGAATGATGCTTCTTTTTCTAATTGCACAAGAGCGTGTTTTCAAAGCAGATTAAATTTACAAACGCATCCAATTAATATAGTGTTCGTAAATTTCATCTGCCGCTCGAAAAATACGCTCTGTTAGGGAAAAAAAAGCTGCATTGATGCTGTTTTTCTTTCTTTTCTTTTTTTCTTTTCTTTTTTTTTTACTGCAGAACGCTTCTCACATATAATTATAATGCTGAGCATTCTATCACGCTAAAACATTATGAAAGGTTAAAAAAAAAGCCTGGCTCGGGTCAGGCCAGAGAATCCTGAAAACCTTTTTGGACCGGGTCAGGCTGGGGCTCCACCTCCTCGGGCCGGGCCGGACACGAGCTCAGATTTTAGGCCCGTGCAGGGCTCTACCCCAAGGTGCTGTTTAACACCATCAGCAGCATCGTCTCTCCTGCCTCTCCTACAGCCTCCATCCACTCTGTTACAGACAGTGAGAACTTTCTGTCTTTCTTTGTGGACAAAGTCAATAAGGTTAGATCTAGCATCTCTCCTTCAGCCTTATCGCCGCCTCTCCCGACTCCAACCAGGCCCATCATCCTAGATAGCTTTGCTCGTGTTTCTTTGCCTGAGTTAACCAAACTAGTTAACTCTATGAAGACCTCTGCATGCTCCCTCCACATCTCACCCTCATCTTTGTTTAAAAGTGCTTTTCAGTCCATCGGTCCCAGCGTGCTCTCTATAATTAATGCTTCACTGGTTTCTGGTCAGGTCCCTGCTTACTTTAAGAACGCTGTAATCCACCCGTTTCTTAAGAAAAACAAGTCTCGACCCCTCTCTTCATAGCAGCTTCAGACCCATCTCTAAACTTCCGTTCATCTCCAAGATCTTGGAAAAGGTTGTGGCTAAACAACTCACAGCTGCTCTTGATCAACATAACATATATGATGGCTTCCAGTCAGGTTTTCGTAGAGATCATTCTACTGAAACAGCTCTTCTTAGGGTCTCTAATGACCTTCTGACTCACAGTGATGCAGGAGACTGTTCTGTTCTGGTCCTGCTGGACCTGACTGCAGCCTTTGACACTGTTGACCATCACCTGCTACTGAAGAGGCTGAGAGACTGGGTAGGCCTATCAGGATCTGCTCTGGAGTGGTTCTCCTCTTATCTTTCTGAGCGCTCCTTTTCTGTGGCCGTCTCCAAGTTTAGGTCCTCCACCACCTCCCTTACCCATGGTGTCCCACAAGGTTCTGTGCCGGGGCCTCTGCTCTTCCTCCTCTATCTGCTTCCTCTTCAGCACAACCCTAACCCAAACCGTCTACAGGTGGTTCAGAACGCCTGTGCTCGGCTTCTGACCAAGTCCTCCAAACAAACCCACATCACCCCGCTTCTCCTCCAGCTTCACTGGCTACCAGTCAACTTCAGGGCTCATTTCAAGATCCTAGTTCTGGTCTATAGGGCCTTACATGGACAAGCACCATCTTACATTGGTGATCTTCTTAGTCCCTACACCCCCAGCAGGTCCCTGAGGTCCAGTGATCAAAGCCTACTGGTTGTGCAGCACCAGGCTAAAGACCAAAGGTGACAGATCATTTGCTGCTGTGGCCCCCAGACTCTGGACCTCTCTCCCCCTGAGCCTGAGATCAGTGGACTCAGTGGTCTCCTTTAAAAAGCAGCTGAAGACTCACTTGTTCAAGCTGGCTTTTGGTGTGACCTTCATCACCCTCTCCTTGTTCTGCTCTCCTTACCTATTCCACCTTCCTCAGGATCCACTGATTTCCCTCTTTCCATTTCACTCTCTCTCTCTTTCTTTACATTTTTTAATCACAATTGTCTATTTTTTGCTCATTTTAAATATATTTAAACCATTTTCTAAATTCTTTTTTATATTTTACATTTTTTGTTTTTGTGAAGCGCCTCGTGATTTTTATCTTGAGAGGCGCTATAGAAATGCTATCTTCTTCTCCTTCTCCTTCTCCTTCTTCTTCTTCTTCTTCCAGTAGTTCCGGAGTGCATGAAAGGTTATGCTGTGTCAATACGATGATGGAAATTGACCCTTTTTATTCATTACACAGCGGTACAGCCTTCTCCGTGCCCACCTCCAGAGAATCTTCTTCCAGCGGCTCCGCCTCCAGAGACTCCGCTTGCAGCGGGCCAGAGACCAATTAGAGTTGTGTCATCTGCAAATTTCACAATGTGGTTGGTGTTTGATTTTGCCGTACAGTCATGAGTGAGCAAACCAAACAGGAGTGGTCTCAGAACACACCCCTGAGGTAAACCCTGGATTCACTGTGATGGTCTTTGATGTATGATTGCCCACTTTGTTTGTGCTGAAAACCCAGTTGCAGGTTACAGGGTACACGCAGCTGCTGAGGGATGATCGTATTAAAAGCTGAGCTGAAGTCGATGAAAAGAATCCTGGCGTAGGAGTTCTTCCTCTTGTGCAGTGTGGTGGAGATAGCTTCCTCTGGGGGTCGGTTGGATCTCTGTATGAAATGGGGGGGATCCAGTGGCCCCAATCATCAAGTTGGTAGAAATATTCCTAAATTCCTTCCTCTGAAATTTAGAATGTCCATATGAACAGTCAAAATACTGATTTACGACACATGCAGTGGCCACTCGTGCTCCTCCGCAATCGTCTGTTGATAAATCCCACCTGTGCGTACCCAGGTACTTGTATCCATTCAGTCATTTACACACAGCAATGCCCTCAATTAACCATATTTGATCACACCACATCCGCTGCTCATGAGGGGATTCCCTGCCTTCCTCCTGGAAAAAAAAACTTTATTGACAGCAAGATCTTGGCACTGGCTGCCGAAGAGCGAGGGAACCAAGGAAGCTGCAGAGGTTGTAAACGGGACAGAGGAGAGGTCTCTGTCATTTTACATTCAAGGAGTTGTTCTGCTTGGAGTTAGTCTTATTTGAAAATGCTGTCTGAGAGTGCAGCTTCATTTGAGCTGTCATTCAGTCTGGTTACCTAGGCAACGCGTGTATGTTCGGGAAGCAGGGGAGGGTCTGGCCAGTTTACGTAGTTGTAAAATACAATATGGACTGGAATCGGATTCGTGCGGTTTGTCTGTCACTCCACAAAGGGTCCGAAGTCACAGCACAGCCCCAAAAGGACCTCCTGGAATCAGATCAGTGCACTCATGGAGGACATGTCTCCTACAGAGAGCAAGTCCACGCTCTGCCAAATCCTCCAATAACACAGATCAGCCATGCTACAATGTCATATTCCGGTCGGTCACAGGTGTCTTTTGGTTTTAGAATAAGTCCAGGGATGTTATCTGGCCCTGCTGCTTTGTGATGGTTGACAATGGCAAAGGACTTTCTCACATCAGCTGTCTTGTCACCTGACAGCGGTGCAATAATTCACAGATCTGTCAAAAGTATACATGCAAGACTCTGTTATTATCGACCAGACCATACATCACATTAAATAATACCCAGGCTCTTGGAGAAGACGTCTTTGGCCTCAGGTTTACTTATTTTTCAAGAAAGTAATTCTGTCTTGGTCTGACAGAGCCCACTGATCACCCAGAAACAGCCAAACCCTCCATGTTTGTCTGGAGCAGGATGCTTCTGTGATGTAAACCGGAGTTTCTTCTTCCCACTGTTACAACTCGGGATGGGTACCTTTGACATTTGAATCGATTCGGTACTAATTCCCGGTACCCAGGAATCGGTACCGGTACTTAACAGTACCAATTTTCGATACTTTTGAGTGTTTAATATTTTAATTATCTTTTATAATTAAATATATTTTTCTCAATATATAACCATATTTGATAAATATCACGATAAATAACATACAACTGTTTGTATTTTAACATCATCCTTGTAGTTTTATAAGCTGATAATTAAACTGAAGCAAACATCTTTACTGTGAACTAAATTTACTGTGTATCTTCATTCCTTTTGCCGTCCTTTTTCTTTAGATTTTTCCTACTGGGAAGTTAGAATTTCCGAGGAGAAAGCGAACGCACCATTAGCTGATAACAACGGTGGCAATGGAAGCTAACATATCAAGCTAACGTTATCTTAAACAGTTTATTTAACTGCTGGAGCAGATTAAAACGACGATGCCTCACACTTAGATCGTTGTCACTGGTTTCATCTTCACCCAATCACCCGTCGCATTTAGTAAAGTGAAGCCAAACTTTAGAGCGCGTTCATGTTCTTCTAGTCGGAAATTCGGAGTTCCGAGGAGAAAGCGAACACACCATTAGCGAAACGGAAGCTAACATATCAAGCTAACGTTATCTTAAACATTTTATTTACCTACCGGAGCAGATTAAGATGAGGATGTCTCACTTAGATCGTTGTCTGTCGCTGGTTTCATCATCACCCAGTTACCCATCACATTTAGTGAAGTGGACCCAAGCTTTAGCGTGCGTTCTTTCTACCATGCTGCTCTGTTTACAACTGGCTCGCAGCGACCGACGACATACGCTCTTGCGCATGCGCAGCTGTCTAGGCAAGTTCTCGTTATGAAGGACGGGTACCGAAACGAGGCACCGTTTCAAATGACGTGAGTCGGTGCTCAGTCGGTACTATGGAATTCGGTCGGTACCTTATGGTATGGGGCGACGGTGGGCCTCGCAATCGGAAGGTTGCAGGTTCGAGACCCGCTCAGTCTGTCGCTGTCGTTGTGTCCTTGGGCAAGACACTTAACCCACATTGCCTGCTGGTGGTGGTCGGAGGGACCGGTGGCGCGTGTGCTCGGCAGCCTCGCCTCTGTGCTGTGGCTACATCGTAGTTCATCCCCACCAGTGTGTGAATGTGTGTGTGAATGGGTGAATGACTGATTGTGTTGTAAAGCGCCTTGGGGGGTTCCAGGACTCTAGAAGGCGCTATATCAAATACAGGCCATTTACCATTTAAAAAGTACCGAATTCGGTACCCATCGCTAGTTACAACACAACATAGTTACAATCTAAGGCTTTATCTTGAGTAACAAAAACATGAAATGACGCCCTTAGTAACAAAACTAAGTTTTACAAAGTTTTTTATTGTATTTCACACAGCTGAAACACTTAGATGGTCGAATGTCCATATCTAACTAATAGATCAATACCAGCAAATATTCCTACAAACTAAAAACGTCAGCTTCACACAAAACCCTCATGAACTTTCTTAGTAATTGTAAAGATACTATTTGGTATGTATGAATGTATTTAATTAGGAGCCTTTTCCATATAACTAGTTGCTTTGGACTTTTTCACACCATTAAACCTTAAACGTGTCACCACGTTGACTGCTCGGAGGCTTTAATCACTAATGAAGACCATTCATGAATTAATTCATAAAATCATTTTTGCATGTCATCTTGGACTGAGCAGGCAACATTTGGTGTTTTCTCAGGTTATCTAGAAGCTTCAGAACAGAAGAGGTTCAGCTGGAAGAGAACATGGGTCACTGAACATTTTGGTGTGACAAAAGAATCATTTTAAGTATTAAAGGCAATCAGGCGTTTCCTGGACATGAGGCATTGGTTGAACCTGCTCTTGTGTTACCAGGTTGTCCATTGCTGAGGTTGTTGAGCAGAAACACGGTCACTTGGCCTTCAGCATCCCCAACAACAACATAGTCTGTGTGTGAAGCAAACAGCAGGGAGGTCATGGTCACACCTGGGGCAGCAGGCTGCACAATTATGGGATCCAGGCTGAGGAGACGGAGGAAATTATTGTTATAATCAGACAGAAAACCAGAATATTCTCATTTATGTGACTTACAAGCTTGAATCCAAGTTCCAGATCTCAAGCTGCCCCTTTTTTACAGCACCAAAAACTGTGGCTGCCTTTGGCGACCATTTGATGTCATGCACACCCCCACAGGTGGTGGTGAAGCCCAACACAGGTTTCAGACAGTCGTGCTTCCACAGCTGGATGGTCCAGTCAGCAGAGCAGCTCAGGAATAGGTCTGGATTCAGTGGACACCACGAAATGCTGTTCACCGGAGCCTAAAACATCACGAACAAGCTGCCATCATCGACTTTCACACAAAGGGTTTACATTTGATTCATTATGAATGTGATAATCAATTCGTTAAACTGATTTCAGTACTTATTCAGTTCAGATTCTAGAGTATTTATTATTCTGAAATACAGGACCAGGCCACCTTTATACTTAGAATATGTTTATATTGAGTTCTAAACACTTAGAACTGTTGCTCCTAAAAGGGTAAAGGGTGTATAGCCTGGTTTAAGGTTGGTTTATGCTTGACGCGTCCGCGAGGTTCGCACGGCTCCGTGCGGAAAAGTTGCGTCATTTTAACAACCACGCCCCTCCGCAAGGCCCAAACTTTCCACAACGCGCACCTCGGAATTTTTCTAACCACGCGGACGGTCGGACGTGGAAAAACATGGCGGACTGGCAAGAACTAGTATGGCAGAGGTTCGTAAATACAGACATTTGTATGATTCAGCTCTCAGAGATCACCGTGATCAACATGTTGTTAATAATTCTTGGAGAGAAATAGCTCGCACTGTCGGAAAAGACGAGCACGCTGTTAAAAATGCTGGAATGCCATGTTGTAAACAACAGTAATTTTTACTTCTACTATGGTGTAGTGTTGGATGCATGCCGTAGAGCTCCATGCTGCCCCCTACAGTTTGGGAGAATATTGGCTCACCGCAGAGACGAGCCGCATGAACCATAAACGCCGCAAGTTGTGAAGCGCGTTCCAGCCGCGAGCCGCATCACCAAGCGGAAAGTAAATGTGTCAAGTATAAACCAAGCTTTAGGATTCTCTGTCAACACACACACACACACACACACAGTACTGATAGAGACGTCATCCTTCTATACTTCCCTGCTGCTGTGTCATTCTTGTGACGTATTTCTCCCCCAGGACAGCAGAGGGTGCTTTTCTGAGGTATCATTAAAGTCACGTCTCTGTTTACTACTGTGTGTTTACATTGTGTTTATGTATTTCAGCGACTTTCTAACATGGATGAAGTTGTCACTCATTCTCCTCCACCTCTTCATGCAGTCTCCACTTCCAAACCCACATTTTTTTTGTCTGTTCTTTCTGTGCGGGGTTTTTGCCTACAGGTGCTCCGGTTCAATCCGACATTCCTAAAACACACTATTTCAGCACGACTGCACTTGGTTTCTGTCTTTCTGCCTTTACGCTGTGATGCAAACAAAAAGGAAAAACTAAAAGCAAGACTAAAATGTGAGTCATTTAAAGCACGGCAGGAAACAGCAATGTAGGGAGGGCTGAACAGAGAAAACAGGAACAGAAGAAACATAAACTGGACAATAAACGAAGAAAGCTGATGTACCTACCCTCAACACAAATTGAAAGTGCAACACTTTTGTTCTCCCCCACTGGGCAGGAACTGACTTTGTGTACACAAAAGGCATCTTTCTGTCAAAATCGTTTGTCTAGATCTAAGTTAAGCCGGGCGTACGCTGTGCGACTTTTTCACTTTTTTGAGCCGATTTTCCACTCGTGCGAGAATCCACGAGATCGGGGTGAGTTTTGAGCTGAGCGTGGTGTAGTGTACAGGGGGTTACGAGAGGCGATTAACACCACGTGACCAGCTGCCGATCAGCAATCATGAGCTCGCACGGACTTCTGGCGTGTTTAATATTTTGCTCGTCCCTCGTGAGGGTATCGCACTGTTGAAGCGGCGCTGCGACCCAAAAAGTACCAGAACCGCTCACGGCGCATGCGCAATCCTGCATCAACACCGCTCGCCCGCTATTTCCCTAATAACACACGTTGTTCGTTTTTATTTCTACACGTTTTTTTACTCACAAAGATTGTCAAGAAAGCGTGTTTGTCGTGTTCATGTCAAATTAAACTGATCACAAAACAGATTTACTTTCTTTATTTCGTTTTCCTCATCCAACCCCCATAAATCCCCGTGTGTCCTCCTGCAGCACTCCCGAAGGACAACAGGCAAAACAAAAAAGTCTGACATGTTGTGTAAAAACTGCTATTTTTAGCATATTTTTAGGTCCGACGTGTTGCTACCAGACATGCAGTGTGAGCAGTCATGTCGCATCCGAGAACTGGGTCGTACAGTGTGAGTGCATGGCTCGTGAGATCTGCTCTGCGAGGAAGTCGTACAGTTTGAGCTGAAGCTGAGTGCTACGAGTGAAAAAGTCGCACAGTGGCCGCCCGGCTTGGGTCCACGTGGCAGGGGTGAGGAGTGAGCACCACCTGACCCCTGCCACGTGGACCTCAAGGGATAAACCATAAACCCTGCTTAATGGTCAACATTCCTCGCGGGGTCACCCATAAAGACAGTGGGAGGGTTAAATATCTAATTTAGTATTACAAAGTAAATAACTTTCACCTTTAGCTTTAAATGTTTAGACTTGACTCTAAATGTTTGTTCTTAATGTCGTCATTTATGGCTAAAAGCTACAATCCTGAGTTTTCCCTCTTTCAGGATTTATTTATGAATTTTTCCAACCATCCAGATGCCTGAGCCATCTGAACTGGTTCCTCTCGATGTGGAGGAGCAGCAGATCTACTCCGGGCCCCTCCCGGATGACCGAGCATCCCACCCATCTCTGCGGGAGAGCCCAGACACCTGGCAGAGAAAACTCCTATCATCCGCTTGTATCCGTGATCTACCCAAAGCTCGTGACCTAGGGTGAGGGTAGCAACGTAGATCGACTGGTAAATCGAGAGCTTGTCTTCCGGCTCCGCTCTCTCTTCGCGTTGACAGACCGGAACAACGCCTGCATCACTGTAGCCGCACCAGTCCGCTTATCAATCTTGCGCTCCATCTTTCCTTCACTCGTGAGCAAGACCCTCGTAGGGATTTGCGTGCGTGCGTGCGTGCGTGCGTGCGTGCGTGCGTGCGTGCGTGTGTGTGTGTGTGTGTGTGTGTGTGTGTGTGTGTGTGTGTGTCCGCTCTGTCTTCTCGATCCCCAGTGAGTCGTGGAGGATGGCTGCTTATAGTGAGCCAGGATTCTCTGGAGGTTTCTTCCTGTTAAAAGGGAGTTTTCCTCTCCACTGTCGCTGCATGCTTGCTTAGTATGAGGATTGCTGTAAAGTCACTGACACTCGTCAGTGACTTGATGCAATTTGCTGGGTTCCTTATATAGGAAACATTATTTCTGATTGGCTTAATGAACTGTGAATTGGAATGTTTATTATGTGAAGTGCCTTGAGACGACTCTTGTCGTGATTTGGCGCCATATAAATAAACTTGAATTGAATTGAATTATGGGGAAGGGGTTTCTTCACTCACAAAGTGCTTCTTGTACATCTCCAGGAACTGCTGCCTGTTGGAGCAGGAGCACTTGTGGATTACACCTTCCCATGTTCCAATCAAGTAGATGCTGGAGTCCTGTAGGACAAATGTCACACAGAGACGAGGGTGATCCACGCTAGAAGACTTTCTACTACTGCAGCTCAGCAGTCAATGACTTACTGTTGGATGGAAGTCAAAACAGAGACCTGGAATCAACGCAGATAAAACACTTTCTGTAGCCTTCCCCGTCTCATTCTTTCCATCCTTCTTCTTTTTATGGTTGATCCTCTTCAGCTTCATCACGTCTAAAGTAATTATGTTACAAATTAGAATAAACCAAATATAACATTGGAGGTACTGTAAATGTGGGATTTTGGTTTTGATAATGGAGATTTTATTTGGATTGAGGTTGTGATGGAAACAGCACAAATGTGACAGAGCTAGTATGTTGTCATAAATATTAACGGTTGTGGCCTATAGGCAGGGGTGCACATCATACTTTTGGGTTGGTACTCAGGGGCGAACCGATGGTTGCTGCTTGGTTCTCACATTTTTTTAATGCACTTTATTCTTAACTCAACTCACAATAGGAACAAAACAGTAACGCGTTGATGACGCAACATATTTTCATTTTGTCTGAAAACAATAAGTACAACAGGTACCAAACTGCCAGCTTAACTTAAACCTTCTCATTTTCAAACAACATGACTGAATTGTCTGAACGTAAAACACAACGTGTAAACAGCTGCTTTGTGATAACAAAAATCAAATAAAATAAATTTTAAAGCACTTAACAAAATTACTGTTTCAGAGCACTGAAGTTTTTTTAAATTGCATAAACGCCGTTTTTGTTTCTACAGACTCTCGTCATCCTCGTCATGGTCCGGACTGCGTTCAGCTTCATTATTGACTTCCTGAACAACTTTCTGATGTTCTCTGCTGTTAGAATGTTTATCAAACGCCGGATGATTGAAGTTTTTAGTGCCTACGCTGTTTTTGTCTGCGAGGGTGGGATTTTCATGGCATAATCTGCACCACATCTCTGTGCGTTCATCGTTTGTTTGAAGCCAGCCGACCTCCTGCAGCCACTTCTCCGCGATTACTCTTTTCTTTTGCGGTTCCGGCTCAGTCTGACGTTTTTTTGGAGGCGGAGGAACACCAAAATAATTACTTAATGGAGCTTGCTTCTTGGACATCTTTAAAATGCTCCAGAAATGTCTTCCTTCCTCCACGAAGTCTTAGGTGCGCAAATGCGAGCTGCAGCTTTTTTTCAGGTGTGCATTGTTTATTTTGACAGCGCATGGGCACCTGCGGACCACTTATGTGCACACCTGCCTTTAGGACCAAACTGAAGTGATGCACAATTTGTGTTTAAAAGAAGAAGAAGAAGAAGAAGAAGAAGAAGAAGAAGAAGAAGAAATAATTTTAGAGTTTTGACCAAAGTACAGATAATTTTGTGTCTAAGGTTCAGGAATAAAACAGCTAAACAGGAGCTTAAGAACAGTTACAGTGTCACCTTCCTTCTGTGTGGACGATCCCAAACCCAGTATGTTCATGAGGAACGGTACCTGCACAATCAAAAACACCTTTGAGGATAGACCACCTCCTCATTCTGCCATCTTCACCCAAAGAGAAAAGAGCCTCAGCTTTCTCTTCTGTGTAGCTCAGCTCTTGTTGGATCCACCTGAGTTGCCATACTGGACCCAGGTGCCTGTTGGGACATTCGCTGCAGAAGCATACCAAGATACATCAAGATAATGTTCATACTACGATGGAGGAGATGAACAGAGTTCTCACCAGCTGCTGATGACCTGTGACTTGGCATCTGGACTCTGCACATCATAGACAGCTATGGTGCCGTCACACATCCCCACAGCCAGCTGACTGGGGCTGCAGGCTGAGAAATCCAGACAGGTCACCACGCTGTTACAGTGAATGATCCGCTCAGGCCGCTGCAGGAAATTAAGTACAGGAGCTGAGTCATCAAAACCCGGAGGAGGATCTCTGATGGTTAGGGACGGAACTGTTACTGTAGAAGCAACTCGTACCGTGGGATTGTTGAGAGACCAGCAGCACACCAGACCTGCTTTCTGGTTTCTGGAGTCAGGCTCACCATGGCCCACAGCCAGGAGGTCCTAGTGTTAAATACACAGGTGTGTTATGTGGAGGCAGACCAAGATATAAGCACAAGTCATGGTGTGTGAATTCTGTGGAGGGTTATGTTTTTTTTTCTGCCTCCTCATTTCACCTGGCTGTGTGTGTGTGTGTGTGTGTGTGTGTGTGTGTGTGTGTGTGTGTGTGTGTGTGTGTGTGTGTGTGTGTGTGTGTGTGTGTGTGTGTGTGTGTGTGTGTGTGTGTGTGTGTGTGTGTGTGTGTGTGTGTGTGTGTGTGTGTGTGTGTGTGAGCTCCAATCATCATGTTACTCCCAAGCCCCCACAGTGCGGGTGAAAAATTGAAGCCAACGCAGAAGTACCAAAAATTGCAGTTCCACCCTCATCCACTAGGGGCTGGTGTCAGAAGCGAGCAAATCCTCATTGACTCCCATGTTAAAAATACCAATTTCACAGCAGAAATAAACATGTTTACAGCCTGGTACCAACACATGTTTTTGGTTTAAATGATCTAGTTTACACTCATGACAACTCTGAGGGGGGTGAATTGTTTTCTCACTCTTCTGTTTAAGTGTATTAAAAGCCTAAAATTCTGTATAATTAATGAGCATCAGACCCACGTGACCACAGAGCTAGCTCCGTGGAAAGGCCTCAGTAGAGCCTCGGTCTGGCCTGGAAACTGCTCCGGGATTTTGAGTCTCTGTGTTTGTGTGTTCTTTTTGGGATATTATTTGTGCAATTGTTGGACAAAACGACTTGCTGTGGCATTAATTGCACTAATAGAGCGTCCAAGGAGTCTCCACTTCATTTTTTCGGTAAGTAAAATGATATTCATGTATTTTAGGTCACTGCCGAGCTGAGCTTAGATTTTAACATGTACTGTTTAACCATGAAATTTAAATGTAATAGGGTAAAACCCCAGTGCATTTAACATAATGCTGCACTTTAGAAAATGGGTTGAAATATAACATGTTGGTGGAGCTGGGTTCCCACTATCGGCTTGTGGAGCTCTCGGGAGACCGATGTTTTCCACCCGTTTCTCCCCTCCCCGCAGCTCGGCGCATCTCTGTCTGATCGCGACTTCTGTCTGCTGTGCGGGCTGCCGGCTTGTGGAGGTCTCTGAGACCTCTGTGTTCCACCCGGTTTTACCCAGCGGTCAGCCCGGCGTATCTCTGACTCAGAAGCTCTGGTGCTGTGCACAGTTAACTCTGGTTGTAGCTAGGTTGCTACCTCCGTTAGCTTAGCTCCCACCTCCGCGTTAGCTTTGGGTTAGCTTCAGGTTAGCTTGTAGCTCGTTCGACCGGGTTTCATTAGTTGATCCCAGCCTTACAGCCCCACCCTCAGCTCCTCCTCTCTTCCCTTTTGTGGAATTGTCTGGGCTTGACGGAACCTGTGGCACGGTCAAAATGGCGGTGGTGGCCACCTCCCATTTATCTTCAAAAACGTGTTAAAGGAGCCTCTGGAAACCCATTGTCCAATATGTTGATGGTTACTCCCTATAATCACAGTCAGGTCTACACTCCAACACAGCTGACTGATTATGTCAGTTTGAGCTTCAACGATCAGTTGAAGATCAGAGACAAAGGGAAAGTTCAGCTTTAGATCCCACAGATGAGCATCATGGAGAACTTTTCATGAACATTCAAATCACATCTCTCTTCACACCCAGCAGCAGTCCTTTTCATACCCATTTTTAAAGATTTCATTCCAGTTGGGTACCAGATGGTTACCATTTTGGACCCATGCACTTCTGCATATATCCTTATGTGAGAGGCACCACACCTCAACATGATCTGGGACGACAGGCAGGGCACTGAGGCCAATAATAACAATAAAATAAAATCTTGCTTTCATTTCAAAAGTTAACTCCAGGATATGAAACAGTCAAAGTCAAGTCGGCTCCTGAAGAGTGTGATGCAGTCCGAAACTGGGTTCTGTGTGGTTGGATTTGGGTACAAGCAGGCGTAGACTCATAAGTCCTAATTAGCATAGCATTGTTTCCAATTGTCTTGTCCAAGCTGTTATTAGGTGTGTTGATCTCTAGATTCTTACCGGGTTTTTCTTGTTCCAGGCCATGCTGCTGATGCTACGTCCTCTGCTTAGCTCACAGCTGAAAACCGAGAGACACGTCAGGGATGGAGGGAGCTCTGCAAGTCTGTCTGGCAGGGACACGGTGCTTAAAGTCATGCACACTGTTTCCTCGGATGGCTCCATGTCAAACACAAGTAGCCCTCTCCTCTGACTGGTTACCTTCCCGAAGGGGCACAAGCCCATGTTGCACACTGCTGCTCAGGATGTTCCTCTCCATTACTAATAAGGTGTTCTGGAAGGCCTCTGACATCGTGGTGAGCTGCAGGTCTGACTGAGCATTTAAAATAGTTCCAAACTTGTCCACCTCTTTCTGTGAGCTAGAAGCACACCCTGATGAGGAAAGGACAAATCGGTTGCAGAACATCGGATGATCTCGTCTAAATGAAGCTAACTGTTATACCTGTACTGGTTGAGCTGATCAGAGACCCACTCCTCTCTGTGCCAGAGTCCAGACCAGCCACAACACTGTCCTTTCCTTTAGCTTTAGAGATATCCACGGTTTGCTCCAGCTCAGGAGCATCAGACAGGTCCAGGATGGAAAAAGATGTAGCTGTGAACATGGAAGGTAATCCAGGATAGTCCTTTATACGCCTAAAGCAGTGGCGGTTCTACATCGAATTACTCCCCGGGCGAGGCCCCCTTTGAGCGCCCCCCACCCCCAACCATACCCCCACCACCACCACCACACCACCCCACTTGCATGAACACACGCATGTTTTCTACAAACAGGCATGTTTTATTAGAACGACTATTGAACATTCATTTTTCTAAGCTGCACATATTTACATTAATTACTATGAAGTTGTCAGAATGTAAAGCAATATACGTTATATACTGTATCAAAATATATAGAATCAAATATACAAAAACAAACAATAACTAAATATTAAGAATATATGAACATAATATATAATAAATATTCTAAATAGCAAAAATATTTCACACATAACAAACTAAAGATAATCACTACAGCATTGCACTTAGAACAGAAAACACAAACTAAAATTAAAACCTAACCTTGATGCAACGTCATCAATAATGTCATCACATGAAATCTGCTCCCCTACTGAGTTATTGATACTAATCAGAGCCAGGTTAGTGAGCCGCCCCTGAAACATAGGTGACCTCAGGTATGACTTGATCAAGTTTTGAAAAGCTCCTCTCAACTTGAGCCACAGTGACTGGCAGAGCAGTCCAAAAGTTGGGGTAGATCTCCAATAGATCTTTATCATGATCCATAATATTTTAGAATGGCCTCTGAAATTGTAATTTAAAATGACATAAAAAACTGTAGACTAACAAAAATGCCAACTTTTACAGAACAAATCATGTAAAAAATAATCAGTGCAGCCATCTGCAATAAACAAACAGGATAGTGAGTGGTGACTGGGGAGTTTTCTTCTGCTTGTAGAGTTGTTTTATTTATTATTATGAGAACATGATCAACATGTGTTTGTTGTTGTTCAGGCAGGCCACAGGCTGCAGCGAGCATTTAACAAATCCTAGTTTGAATCAGTAAAAAACGATTCAAGGACTTTTTTCGAACCATTTGAATATTCGTTTCAATATTTCAGCCCTATTAGCTCTGTTAGCAATTAGTTGACCACATTTAACCGTTAAAATCCCAGTTAACTGGTTCAAAAAATTGAAAACATGCATCATGAGAGCTACATACCTTTATCTTTCTCCTCTTTTTTCTTTTTTTCCCCCCTGAATGGGGCAACTGGTGGTTTTAGCCTTTTTATGATCATCTTTTCTGTTTGGCTCCTGACTCAGTAAGTTTCCTTTAGTCAGGACTGAACAATTTGACCTTGATGGGGGGGTGACCACAAAATCGTTTTGTTTTTCCTTTTTTTATTCGGCCATTTCACACAATTCAGAGAAACCTGAAAGAATGATAGGCCTGTGTTTATGATATTATGAATGAAAAATGGAAGAACGTTAAGATGTGATTGACTTTAGCCATGTTAATACAGTTGATTCAGCCCCTGCACGCTCATTTCATTTGGGAAAGACGCAGAGGTGAATTCCCCCGCCGCACCCCTCCCCTTCCTGTTCTTCATAGACACACGGTGCACGTGAACGTTCTCAGTCAGCAGGAGCGCCTGCAGCTGCAGGGGGCGCCAACTTGCTGTTTCCAATCCAGACACTGTCATATGACAGATAATAGAAAACCTCGGTGCGGCGCAGATTTCCTTTTTTTTTTTTTACTCAGCGCTTGTGCGCCCCTTTTGTGTCATGAAAAAATGCCGCCCCGGGCAACTGCCCTGTCTGCCCGTGCCTAAAACCGCTACTGGCCTAAATACACGTTCTGTGACCAATAACTAGACGGTTAGTAGGAGTCCGAGGCACCTTTCTGAGGGGGCAAGCCTCGAGCCTGAAGATGGCTACTCTGAATGAGAGATGATGAGCTTTGGATAGTGGTTCTAATATTTCCAAGAAAGTGGGACTGAGTTGGACAGCATGATCTAGGACAGAGAGGTTCCTAAAGTTTGGGTCGGGACTCTTCTGTGGGTCCTCAAGATCTACACAGGGGGTCGAGTTGATCTCCAGAAGTTGAAATAAAACCCAGAAGCAACATTTTTGGCATATTTGTTAGAGAAACAAGTAACAAATGTAAACAAGCTGAAGCGTATTTACTGATGCCAGGATTTTTAGCTTTTTAAGCATGTTTGTGTTCAGAGCTGAAACTCAAACTATTAGAGTGTGATGCAAAAGTCCATTTATGTCAGTGATTCAACTTAAAGGTAAAACTAATCTATGAGACAGACTCATTCCATGCAAAGCCAGATATTTCAGTAATAACTGTGATGATTGTGGCTTATAGTTTATGAAATCCCCACATTCATAATCTCAGACAACCAGAATATCGTGAAAAGGTTCAGTATTCTAGACTCAAAGCTCTAATCAGCTGATGAATCCAGAACAGCTGCAGAGGGTTCCTGAGCCTTTAGGTGGTCTCTCAGTCTAAGCTGGATTACTGACATAAATGGACTTTTGTACCATATTCTTATTCTTACAGACCCGTTTCTCTCTTCACACAAACTAACCCGAGTCTCATTTTAACCACTGGTGTGATCAGCACTAGTTCTGCAGAATGAGGAGAATTTTATATCCAACCAAAGACTTCAGTCAATCAGAACCAAACCCTAGTTGGTAGTCGGATGTTTGAATTAGCCTGACAGAAAGGCATGATAGGGAGACAGACTCTAGGTTTAACAGGAAGTCCCACCTGCGTCCACCCTGAGGGGAGCCTCACTCTGGACAGGCTTGTTTTTGGTTGCTCCGTTCTGCGTCTGCACAGGCTGATCCACGTACGTCTCACTGGTCATCCTGCTGCTGCAAACCTCAGCGTAGCGGCTATGTTTCTCCCTGTGAAAGCACAGTCATGGTGAAGTCGTCTCACCTTAAACACGATCAGAGACTTAAAGCAGGAAAAGCTGTGCTAACATGACGGTTTCATCTGCTGATGCAACAGTGCTGGGTATGTCCAGCAGGGAAATGGTCTCCGACTCGGTGAGTAAGATCTCTATTTTCTCATCCAGCATGGCTTCTGTCACCTCTTCGTCCAGCATGTTCTTCATCGCCGTCTCATCTGGAAAAACAGAAGGTAAAATAAAAATGGAAACGTGAAGATTTTAACATATTTTATTGCCCTAAGTGTTCTTCTAGATCTTCTAAACTTGTTTTTTTTCCTCCTCATGTCTCTAACATGTCTTTATATTTTTATTTGGTCTAACTCCACAGACGGACGTCAGATCCGGTTACAGAACCGTCATCTTTTCATCTCAGAACCTGCGATGGCGAGCAGCGCGTTCCCCTTGGAGAAGGCCTCCCCCGTCTCCTTGTTCATCTCTTCTATGGTGGAGTGGCTGGACATCCTGCTGCTGCCAAACACCGACCCAAACCTAACAGGAACACATTTCTATTAATATTAGAATCATACCACACAGCGCATGTAGGGATTGTTAGTAATTGTTCTCAATATTGTGTTGTATGTTTTTATTCTAATGAAAAGCTTTAGTCCTTATGATGCTGTTTACATTGTTTGTGCCATTGTTGTGTGTAGCGTCACCGAAGGTCCTCTAATTTGTGGCAAAGGGCACATCTACCCAGCTGGGTCAAGCTGGGTCAAACAGTACTTTTAAATCCACAGATTAACCCAAGGAGCCGCGATGTCTGCTCAAGATCATATCCACATCTGCTGCTGTTCCATCCCAGGAGGACACTTCAAGTCACGATGATAATAATTAGATAATAGTAATTAATAAAACTCATTGATTTTATTACTTTTTAATATAAGCATCATAAATGATCACTTGGTTCAGTATAAAGGTATTTTAATTACATGAAATGAATTTATGCTTTGGGTATGGTCCAGAACGCAGCGGCGCGTCTGGTCTTCAATCAGCCAAAAAGAGCACACGTCACCCCTCTGTTCATTGAGCTCCACTGGCTACCGCTAGCAACACGCATCAAATTCAAATTGCTAACACTAGCATACAAAGTCCGAGATGGTACGCCTCCCATCTACCTGAATCCTCTTGCAAAGGCTTACGTCTCGGCCCGGCCGCTCCGGTCATCACAGGATCGTCGGCTAGCAGCGCCCACACCACGCTCAGGACAATCCAGACTCTTCTCATGCATCGTTCCACAAATGTGGAATGACCTTCCAAGCACTACCAGAACAGCGGCTTCCTTTTCAATTTTCAAGAAAATCCTGAAGACCCTGCTCTTCAGAGAGCATCTTCTAAACTAGCACCCTCCCTGCACCCGTCCCCCCCTCTCTACTGTCCACTCCTTGTTCCCTCCTCTCCATGACTGATGTCAATGTTGTTGTTGTTGTTGTTAGCCTCAAGGGCAACATGCCGATTATCACTTGTAAGTGGCTTTGGACAAAAGCGTCTGCTAAATACATAAACATAATAATAATAATTATGGTTGATGACAGTAAAAGATGTGTTCAGCAGAAGGTCAGTACACCTTATCCATCTAACACAGAGTCCAGATAAACGATAACTGCAACACATGTTTTTGACGCATGATCTAAGCTTTCTTCCGGAGAGAGTGGGAGTTTCCTGAGAGCTTTTGGTAAAACTGTAACCATCACCAGCTTCAGACAGTTCTTGAACCAACATCACGGAGGAAGGGAACGGCCGTCCCTAAAACCTCCACCTGCTGTTCCAGTCACGCCGACCAGGATAGCTAAGAATAAACGAAACTGTAACTAGCTAACGAAGACTCTACCCAGAGTCATCGATTTCTGAGTTAAGTTAAGGCGAAAAACTCCTTCAGAGTTACGGACTTTGAGACGCCGATAGTTCATCAGTCGTGTGACCCACGGAGACAACCCAGAACTGATTTGGTCGCATAGAGGTCCTTCTACCATCCTCGTGCCTGGAGGAAATCATCTCCACCTGACATCTCGGATCCGAATGGGGGTCTCCGGAAAATGGGTGAGGTAGACACTAATCGACAGATGACGTTTGATGCTGTTTTCTCTAAATAACTCAGTTAGCCGCAAAACATCAATTCCATCCAGAATGCTTCTGCTCTCTGTGAAAGAAACCTCATATTCTCAATTTAGTTTCCATCCAGCCACAGGCTTGCTTTTAAAACAATTCCAATTCCAATTTTATTTATAAAGCGCATTCAACAAGGCATTACAACCAAACAAGGCACTGTACGCTAAAAATGTTAATTAAACCGGCAGATAAACCGGATATCAACAAGTTTAATATCAGGCTGTTAAAAATTGTCATTAAATTGTCATCCATGAATTGTCGTTTCAAATCTTTAAGTTTAAAATTGCTACTAATAAAATTTCTTCATTTTTAAACTTGCCTCCTTATTGAAACGAAACACAGAAAAGGTCTAATATTTCTGGTTATTGACAAGCAAAGATCCTAGCTTCTGATTCAAAATAACTTTCGCTATTAAATTTAATTATCTAAATTAAACATTAATCCTTGGATTAAAATGAGATCAAACAGGTTGATGTATGAACTTAGATCGATATATAAGTATCGGGCGGCGGTGGCACAGGAGTTAAGTGCTCGCCCCGTAATCGGAAGGTTGCTGGTTCGAGTCCCGCTCAGTCTGTCGCTGTCGTTGTGTCCTTGGGCAAGACACTTAACCCACGTTGCCTGCTAGTGGTGGTCGGAGGGACCGGTGGCGCCAGTGCTCGGCAGCCTCGCCTCTGTCAGTGCGCCCCAGGGCAGCTGTGGCTACATTGTAGCTCATCACCATCAGAGTGTGAATGTGTGTGTGAATGGGTGAATGACTGGTTGTGTTGTAAAGCGCCTTGGGGGGTTCTAGGACTCTAGAAGGCGCTATATCAAATACAGGCCATTTACCATATCCGGATATTTATACATCATCTAAGACTCACAGGTTAATCTGATTGGTCATTTTTCGGAATCTCCAACTGAATAGCCACAGAGGCAATTTCAGTGTGTAGTTTAATTCTCTACATGTGCAACACGTTGGGGAAGTGTCAACGGTTAGAAATGTGGTCTTCCTTTGGGTCTCTCTGGCTGGACGTTCCCAGAAATCCTCATGGCAAAAGCATCCGATATTTCTCTATATTTATGGAGACTGAACTAGATTCTGTGGAAAGATTCCATAAAGACATCAATACAGATGAAGCAGAGTTCAGGTGGGCGAAAAGGAAGGAACATCAGTGGTTACTTGGTTATGACTGAGGAGGTGGCTGACGCAGAAGTAGCTTCATCCAGTGTGCAGCCAGGTGTTCTCTCATAAAAGTTCCTCTCTGCACGCAACTGGAATCAGCTGGGACTACACTGCATCCACCTGTGCTCCCTGTAGCCACAGGTCTGATGCCAGGAATTATTTTCTTAGATTGTGTGAATAAAACAAAATGCGTGGTAATAGGGACTTCCTGTTTGAAGGTGTGGCTGCTCAGTTAAGCTGTGACGAAGGGAAAAGCAACATCGAGCTCATCGTGAGGTTTTTAGCTAACGGAAATGATGTAGCTGCATTACCCAAGAGATGGCAGCAGATGGCGTACTCTTCTACGATGCAGAATCGTTTATGTCCGCATCCCGATGCATCAATTATTTGATTATTTTCCTCAGCTCTAACGTGCGTGCGTGTGTGTGTATGTGTTGGGGGAGGGTACATTGGAACTTTGTCCCCCCCAGTATGAAAATCCTATCTGCGCCCCTGGTAACATGGTGGGCTCTCCACCGTCATGCAGACCTGGATCCACGTAACTCTGAACGTCTCCTCTCATTCAGGATCTGCTCCTGGATGTGAGCCATGACCGTGCTGTCCTGGTGCGACTGCTTCACCAACAACCAGCACTTCATGAAGACTCCTTCCACCTTCCACCTGACTGTAGCGTTCACTCGCGGCAGAATTAGCTTATTGTCACCTGCAGCTGGTGGTACCTTAAGAAGCTCCCAGAGACTGTGGTGTGGTCTGAGACGGATCCAAAAGAGAGCTGATCCACCAAAAACCTGCTGACCTTTAGTGGTGCAGCAGCTGGATCCACCTGGTACAGTGGCTGTGGGGTGACATCGTTGCCTTCTTCATCCAGCAGCTGCAAACAGGAGAACTTTCATCAGCTGTGAGTGTTCCATTTGAATGTTTTACATAATTGTGTAAATGCAAAGCGGGTCCAAAACACACAGTCTAATCTAACAACAAGCATGGTTACAGCTTCAGCTTCATCTAACAGTCTCACGGCAGTTTGTTTGAACTCTTGTTTCCTTCTAGGTTCTAGGTGTCGTACCCGTGGGGACCGGGCTTTCTCAGTCCTAGCACCGTTACTCTGGAACCAGTTGCCACCCTCAGTTAGGCTGTCCCCATCTCTGCCAGTCTTTAAGAGTCATCTAAAAACACACCTCCTCCTCCGCTTGGCGTTTCCAGAACATGTTTGATTTTGGCCCTCTTTTATGTTGAATTTATTTCACAGTTTTCATTGGTTCACTCAACCCATCCACTCAATCCAAATGTGTTTCACACATTTGTCCTGTACCAGAATGTTTCATCTATCTTGTAATTTCTATTTTGTAATTTGAATTGCTTTTATTGTTGATTTACTCAATTTATTTACCTACAACTGTACCATGTTCAGCGCTTTGGGCTTCCTGACAGGGTTGCGGAAGGCGCTTTATAAATAAAGCTTTGATTCTGGAAATGATGACAGCGTGGAAAGCTCGTTAAGATTCCTGCAAACGTATTCAAAACAAAACTAACTGAGAAAACACAAACAAAACTTGCATTTCTTGTTTCTTTTTAAACACAGAAACGAAAAGTTGTTTTTAATCTTGTTCGCTAACATTTCAGCTACTTCCTGTCGCCATCCTCAGAGCTGTCATAATGTTGGTGGCGACACTTCCTTCCTTCGTTGCAGAGAAACGTTAGCAAACAAGGTAAAGTACAACTTTCCTTTTCTGTAGGCTAGCTTTACATATTTGTTTATTTTTTTGGACGTTTCTAGCTCCACACAGGCTTGCCACGCAGACAGAATATTTGGTGTTTGTTTATTATCTGGTTTCCAACAGCCAAAGACCTTTTGTCCATGTAATTTTTTTTCTAAGTGTTCAAAATGGACTGTTTTTTTTTTGTTTTGTTTTTTTTGTTCAGGTTGTGTGATCGATTACCTTGTGTGTATATGTGAATAAAGCATGTTTATTATCTACATTACCGCTTGGCCTCACCTTTTTTTCCCACGCTCTCAGGTGTTTATTCATTGAAAGTTAGTCCCCAGACAAAAGCACCTTAACAAAAACGTAAACGTTTCTCTAAAATGCAATCTCAGACCTTCCTGTCCAGTTTGAGAATGTTCTCTGGAGCATGTTGTGTCCCTCTGGTCACACAAAATCAGTGTGTCTACATAATACTAGGTTGAAGGAAGAATATTACAACAATTGTAATCTCCACCAGCCCTGTACTTAATACATTGTTTACCTATAAGACAGTGAAATATTAGTGGCTGCATAAACAGTGTTGTTTTTTTATTCTTTATTTAAACAGGAAGCTTCCATTGAGATTAAAAACCTCATTTTCAGTGGGGTCCTGGCTAAAAGGCAGCACAAGTTACAGTTACAAAGTTTTTCAGTCAAACAGGTTAAATCGTGTTAGCATTGGTTACTGGGTTGAAAATGTGAGGATCAACGTGAGCATGGCACAATACTGTCCTACTGGACTGTAATGGGCCATTCTCATCTGTACCGGGTCGGCCCGGGCCGGGTAGCGTAGGTTGTTTACATATCTGGGTGGCCTGGTATTTTTCTGGGCCAACCAAGGCTCATTCTCAGCCCTCTTCTCGAGGGGGTCTGCTTCAGGCCGACCAGGGCCAACACACCCACTGCTGACAGCAAATTCGCACCTTCCATTAGAGCAAGCCTCTGATTGGTGGGTAGAATCAGCCCACATGGGCTTAAGACAAGGATGTGTGGAATCAACCGGGCCAGGCTGGGGCCGACTGGGGCTACCCGGCCCGGGCCGACCCGGTACAGATGGGAATGGCCCATAACATTGGAAGTGTGTACCATTTGAGTAAACATGAAATTCGTTTAGTAAAAACTTGATATTGATACATCTATAATTTACTCTCTTTATCCAGCTGAAGCAGCTTTTAGTTTTTATGTCTGTTTAATTTGTTTTTTTCTGCTAAGCATTTGTTGCGCCATTGGCTTTCCACACGAATTTTCCCACCTTTGTCAAAACACGCGTTGTAGAACGCGTGCATTTTTGGTCCCTTTAGCTTGCCATACACTTGACTTATCAGACACACGCGCGTTTTGAAAGCGCGCTTTATTTTTGGGCCAACAACTACGCGCAGCTTTGACTCGGATGCGTTAAGCTCGGTTCGGTTGTGTGAAACCGGACCTGGCTTTACTCACCTGAACAGCTGGTCTCGAAGTCCGAACGCTGCCCAGACTCAGGCTCCGTCTGCTGGGCGAAGCGAGCAGACTGGTGCGTCTGGATCTGGACCTAAAAGCAGAACCAGTTTAAGTGCACGTGCTTTTTGCTCCCTAAGGAAGCCTCGGGTCTCTACTTACCGTCCCTGAACCATGGTGGGCCTCCTTCCACTGTTGTCCCTTACTTCAGACATCGTTCAGCGGCTTGTTGGGGTTTGTCGTTGCCTGGCAACGCGTGACGTGACCAATTATCTTGGACAGATAGATTTAAAGGTGTTTGACCTTTAATGGGTTCGCTAGTCGACAGAGTCAACACACCAGCTTGGTCTGATTTTATCGGTCATAAAATAAACGATAAGTCTCCATCAGGCTCTATTTCACAATCAGACTTCAAAGTTTGAAGAGAAGCTTCTTCTGAAGCATTTATAAACAAATGTTATCTACTTCTAAGGCATCCTATTCCATCCCTTTGGTTATGCCTGTTGAACGGGCCGGGACAGAACAATCACCTTCACTAGAATCATTGGTTCACCCCAAAACAAAACCCACTCACACATCTGGGCAGCTGGGAATGCTAAAAAAAAAATAATAAAATAAAATAAAAGGAATCGGGTGCTTTCGTTTGAAGCTCGTGGACTGAAAACCACAAATGTGGGCGATGTCATTTTTTACTCACTTGTTTTCCATTTTTGTAAAGGTATGAACTCGTATTCACCTTGTTTGACTAACAGATGTTTAAATGTCTTAAAGGTGGCCGTCTGATATTCCAGAAGCTGAGCGTGAGTCAGGAAGTGCTGAAGTGCAGAAACTCTGCAGCACACGCTTGTGCCTGAAATGTCATCAGCGATGATAAATATGAACAACCATGTGCATTTTAAGTGGAGAATAAGATGCTGAATTGGAGGCTTCTGGAAATGAAATGTATAAAAATAAGACAAAAAGGCACAGGCTCTAGGTGTCCTGAGAACAAAGTGCTGAGTCCACCGGGGCTCTTTCCTCTGGTGAAACCTGTTTCTACACTCACTGGGTCAAACTAAGAAGCTGTGCTTTTAAGCTTTTTTTGGGGGGACGACGACATTTTCTGGAATCCAGCATATGCACTGTTATAGATAGAATTGGTGCTTTTATGCAAATATTCCAGAATTTATCGTTATAAGCTTTTTAAGCTAAGGTTGATGCTTTAAATGTATTGTGAAAACCGCAGAGTGGCTGTTAGTTCTAGGAAGAACGCTTATCAGCCAATCACCTTCATTTATAAAGCACCTTACAGGAAGGAAACATGCCAAAGGGCTGGACAATAAAAATAAAAAACATATAAAATCAGTAAAAAAAACAGAAAAAACTTAAAGAAACCAACAATAAAAACAAAAGTATGTAGAGCTAATCCATAGAGTTAAAAACCAGATAATACATATGCTAGGAATGTGTGCTGGTAAAAAAAAATGAGAAATTAGGTGTTTAACAAAAAAAAAACATCTTTTACTTATTTACCTTATTCTAATATTAGGTCTTATATGGCTCATTTTAGATGTAATAAACACTTTAATGGCATTTTATATTTTACTTAATATTTGAAGTTCAGCTTCACTTATAAGCTTTGGTTTAAGTCAATTTTTTTTAAGTTTTACTTTATAGTTAAGATTTACTTTTGTTGTTTTTACATAAAACACCAAAATTATAACAAAAACACCTCTTTTTTTTTTTTTTTTTTTTTGCATATTTTATGATCTTAATCCTGAATGAGGATACAGCTGAGAGGAATAAACCCTGCAAATAGTCAACATCACAGAGACGTGCAGATGATGTTTATGTCGAGTCCGTTGGTCCAGTCTGGACGTCCAAACTGGTCTTTGCACATTGGGAAAGGGACAGATATGATTAACTCATGTGTTTTATCTATTTACTTGCATTCATTTTACTAATTTGTATTTGATTCATTAAAGGGTTCTCTAATAATAGGACCCTAAATGAGAAACATAGTCTTTGGGATTTAGCTTTTTTAAACGGAAATATTAATTGGTCAAGGAACTTGTCATGTTCATAACTTGGAAGACCCGTGATGACACCAAACACAGTAAAAAGTAAAATAAAAAGGCTTTATTAGACGTGACGTTACCCGATGAGGGCGAGGCAGGAGACAGAGTCAGAGAGGAGGTGTGGATCAAAACCAGATCGGGACGAGCAGGTACAGGGAACAGGCTGGAGACAAGGTAGAGGTCTAGAGGACAGGCGAGGGTCATGGTGGCAGGCTGAGTTCAAGGCAGGGGTCAGGCGTGAAAACGAGGTCCGGAGGCTGAGATCAGGCAAGGTGCAAGGCTGGAAGATCTACTGGCAAGGAGCGTTCAATAATCTGGCAGTGGTTGGAGAGCAGGCTGGGAGTTAAATAGCAGAGGAAACAGGTGTGGAGGATGAGCTGATGACAGGAACAGGTGAGATGAATGGAGCTGATGAGGTGCAGGCTGAGGTTGCTGTGGCAACAGGTCATGGCAGCAGAGGCAGAGGAGGGTGAAAGACAGGGAGTCATGACAGAACTGTGGTTAATACATTTCTAAAACGTTTTCCTACACTGCCCCCATCTCCTGTGGATAATGCTGTTAGCTCTGGATGTAAAATCTCCAGATTCTGATTTAGTTTGTGTCTGAGTCTTTGTTTTGTATTTTCATCTCATAAATATCTTTTCTTTCTATGAAGAATATTAATAAAGTTGTTCTTTTCTTGTGCAGGGGTGTAGAGGCGCTACAAAAGTATTTAAGAATGAAAGTGAAATAAAGATAAAGAAAGATGAATAAAATGAGGCAGTAAACTAGCAGCAAGTAAACTAAGTAATAACAAAATAAAGAATAAAAGATGTGCATTATCTAGTTACAACTATTCTTTTATTATCATCACCAAAAAACATGGGCTGCATGGTGGCACAGGTGGTAACTCTATTGTGTGGCAGTAAGAAGGCTGCAGGTTCAAATCCTGGCTGCAGCACTTCTGCATGGGGTGGGCATGTTCTCCCCATGCAGGCATGGGTTTTCTCCTGGTACCCCGGGTTCCTGTTGTTGTGGTTCTGCTGGGATCTCTTCCTGTTGTTGCGGGAAGTTCTTCCCTGCTTGCTCTAAATGAAAAGATACAGCAAAGTAAAAAGGCCACAAAGTCCACTGGTTCCCTAAACCTGACTGGTTCTTCATCAGATTGAACTGGTCTGTAATTGGATCTAGACAAATTCAGAATCTGTTTAACATAAAAAAATTGGGATAATTCTTGTTATCTGAGTCTGACGCCCTGGTAGCCTTGAGCTGCAAGCAACTAAAAAAACCCCCACGAAGGAATGCAGACAGATGCTGTGAATTCCCGACACACACCCCACCACCACCCACCCCCGCCTTCGGATTGGTGGACTTCAGCCTGGCGAGGTCATCAGCTGGAGGAGTCAATGTGCTCTTCACTTCTCCCAAGATCTCCCTCCTACCTGTGACTGTACAGTTGATGAGCGCCGTAGATGGCTGCTCTCGCTGGGGGAAACAGGATCTCAGCCCCCCCCCTCCTATTGGAGTCTCATGTTATGTTGTGTTGTCTGAAGTCTGTTGCATATTTGTTGAGGTGTTTTTTTGCAGAGCAAGGCTGCCCTCCTGCTGGAGGGTAACTCTGAAGTGCCTTTTTTCCCTCCACCTGAACCAATCCTCATGAAACCCTCTTATCTCTATTAAGGTAGCGCGACTCGGCTTGCGAATGACCACAGTTACCAATTCTTGTCATGTGTCTTGCCCATGTATGTCTGATCTCTGAATTGTGTGTACTGAAACTTTAATTCCCCTCTGGGATTAATTAAGTATTGATTGATTAATTGATTTCCCAAAAAAGCTGTGAAGCAACTGAAGCTTGTTCAGAATGCTGCTGCTTGAGTCTTAACAAGAACTAAAGAGAACGGAGCACATCACTCCTGTTCTTAGATCTCTACACTGGTTACCAGTAAACTACAGAATAGATTTCAAAGTGCTCCTACTAGTTTATAAATCACTCAGTGACATGGGACCAAATTGCATGTCTGATCTCATTCCTGTATGTACACCCAATAGGGCTCTGAGATCCCTTGGAAACAATCAGCTGGTAGAACCACGGGTCAGAACCAAACATGGTGGAGATGCTTTTAGCTACTATGCTGCTCATTTATGGAATCAGCTTCCTGATGACCTCAGACGTGCTCCAACTCTACTGTTGTTTAAAACAAAACTAAAAACCCCAATGTACTCATCAGCCTTATGCTGCATCGTCACCACCGTAATCTGTGATGTAATTACTCAACCTTAATTCTGTCTTTTCCTTTTAGCTCTAAATGAAAATTTTATTTGTGTATATTTTAATTTGTGTTCTTGTGTTTGTAGTTCTACCATTTCATGCGATTTTTAAAGCACATTGAATTGCCCGTGTTTGAAATGTGCTCTGTAAAGAAAGCTGCCTTGCCTAATCTTCCCTAAACTAACACTAGTCCTAATCTAACTGTGTTACGGTTCTTTTTTTTTAACATAGCAAAAGTGTTATTTTTACCTGTTACAAGCCAAATTTACCAGGCTAACTCGATTCTTAGTTTAGATGTTTCAAAATCTCAGGGTGTGACTTGCAATCGGTGTAGTGAGCGTGGCATTAATGACCATCAAACACCCTTACTCTGTAGAGAGTTGATTAGCAATCACCAAATTACCCAGGGCTTCTAATTCTGACCAAAATTCGTTTAAGCAGACACAAACACACCTACACACAC